CCCCCCCCCCCCCTCCCCTCCTACTTTTACATCATCGAACTGAAATACAAATTCTGTTTCCTACCAACTTTTAATTTTTATAATAATTATGTTTAGAACATAATTTATATATTGTTAATACTACTAATGGGATTAGCCTAATAGCATGTCGTTACTTTCTGGCATAGCAACATGCTTGTTGGTTGTTTGAGCACTCAAAGTAACGACATTGCCATGAATGTCACAGTCAGTTTCTTGTTGGAAATTATAATTAAATCAAAGTTGATCAGACTAAGCAGTAAAAGTAGTATTGATAAAGTGGGTATTTAAGTGCAATTTGGCGGGATGGTAGCCTTAATTTACTCTTTATTTTTCACCCCGGATTGAAAGGTTGTGCCTTAAATGGACGTGACGAGAACTGTAAAACTTTCTGTTCTACAGTTCCACGGAGGACACAGGAAGGAGATTGTCAAATTTGGCGATATTGCTCCTCAAGGCACCGTGCCATGTTCACGTAGTTATCATCTTGGTACGCATAAATAATGAGGAGAAACGATGCCTCAATTCTTAGTGACTATGTTGTAGTTTAGTTAGAAGATTGCACTTCACGAAAAGCCGACGGCACACCCCCGCCTAGCACACTAGGAATGAAATCGATCTAGCCATCACCCAGGTGCGCCACCCTTACTCAATTTAATTTTGGCTTTTTTCTGTTATTAAGCGCAAATTTCATAAGGTAAGACTTCAGGCTGGATTTGGTTGTGCTTAAGCGCCTTTGCTTACACGCTTTTTGTTTGTGTTCGGCAAGGTTCCTTTTCTGCTAACGCTTTAAAATCTCTTTCTCTTCTGCGTTAATTTGCCATCATCATTCGCGCGTCTGTATTTGGGAAGTAATTGTCATTCCTTCTGGAAGTATCTGAAAACGGCGACTAGCACCTGATTAGAATTAGGAAAGGGGTAAGAGGAAGAATAAGAAGCTCTACTGGAGTCCAATCTAGAAGTTAATTGGATTATGAAAACGTTTATTTGTGCCGAATGACAGGCTTTATGATAGTTATCATGAGTCTTTTAGTTGGTTTTGGCTTCACAGAGGGTGTGGGACACTAAAAGCACAAAAAGTGGAGAAGGGGGAAAAAGACGAGTGATTCAAGGGTGTAAAAGAGGCAGACAGACAGTCACAAAGGCAGAGAAAAGAGTAAGGTGAGGTGAGGTGAGTACTGTGGAAGTGGTGAGATCTGACATACAGTGGGGTCATGGTAGTTTGAAGTGAGAAGGGAACTCTGAGTTGAGAGGCTTTTTTTGCCGCATGGGTATTCATTGCCCAGAGTGCACCACGTGGAGGTAGGTCTATCGCTCACCCCATTATGGAAACAGTATGTTTTTGATTATTTACATGGACAGTATTCCTGCTGTCCGCATTTTGTGAATTGACTCCCAGGTTTATGGGTGAAATTGCGTCCATGACATCGGAAGTTTGGTGGCCGATTCGATTGATTTAGTTCCTCTGTTGGCAATGCCACTATGATTTACTTCTTTATCTTGTCTAAGACGTGAGGACGTAGGGATGTATTCTTTTTAGGGAGTTGTTTTGACTGTCGCTGATGATGGAACAGTGAGTATCATTTCTCCAAACTCCAAACGCACCATTATTGTGGCAAGAACCGCTTCTGGTGGTTCCGCCAACACTCCTGGAACTGTTCATGCTGTCAGCTGGCGACTGGCCGAAATGATGCTCCTGGTTCTCGCTACCGATGGCTCATTGGCTATTTGGGACATTCACACTGGCCAATTGGAACGGTTGTTTTTCTACTTTAATTTTGCTTGCCTTGTTTGCCGTATAGGCAAGGTTGGCATAATGAGTGATGTATTCGCATCCTTTCAGGATTGAAACTGGTCCCACAGCAATGAGGCTCTTTAACACAGGCTCCGATCTCTTTGTAATTGGATCTCGTCCCCCTTCCACTCCCCTGATGGCCTTCAATCCAATTAACCAGAGTGCTTCGGCTGCCAGTGTTGTTCATCACACTGCCCCCGCACGGCTAATGCCTAGAAATCTAGGTGGTGGTGGTGGTGGTGGTGGTGCCGAAAAGACCTTCCTCCCTCCCCTCCTACTCCAGAGTGTTGGAGCTAATTTGTCTGGTGGACCTGCTGCATTTGTATTTCACTTCGATCCTGAGGCTATCATCAATAACATTCTAACTTCTGCCATTAATCCAAAGGTTGTTTGTGAATACTACCTCTACTGAAACGAAATACCCGATCTACTTATTTACTTATTTATTTTAGGATGAGAATAAGGGGGTTGTTAAAAATCCACTAAGCCTTCGAGATTGTGGAAGTATTCTTAAATACCTGCTCTCTGTGATATATCCGTGGTCAAATAGTGAACACGCTGGGCTTATGCTAGAGGCCTTACAATTGCCAAAGTGCCCTCGGAGACCACTTTATGGATGTCTTTCAATTGCTGGATTTCTTGCTCTACAGTTTCCAAGTAGGTTGCAACACCTGCCCCTTTATCAAATTTTTCCTATTTTAGATTCAAACGTTGAGAGCATCGCTCCCACTATTGATGATTGTCGTTCCTCGAAGATTGCTACGATTAATCAGCTTGTTCAACTCGCTATTGCTGATGCTTTAAGTTGTTCACCCGCTGATAGATTGTCGGAAATATTCCCTGCTTTAACTGCTCCAATTGAAACCCTTCTCCAGCAATCAATACTTTCTCCCTCCTCTGTTGGTCTTCTGCGTCAATTGAGGCTTCATTCCCTCATTGCTAGATGGCAGACTAAGTGTATTCACGTGTGTTTGCTCAATACTTTAATGATTCATGAATAGTAATTACTTTCATCGATGTCAGAGGTCACATTATTACCGTTCATTAACTGACGCTCAGGAAGTGAGATAGTGAAAAGTATTTGTTAATCGGGGCTGATTAAGAGCGGCGGAAACCACTATGGTGGTGGGGATCTCCATTATTCTAACCCTCTACTCAAGATGTTTTTATTTCAAATGTCAGGCGTTTTGATAGTTATCATTAGCCCATTAGCCGACTTCGAGCTTCACAGGGATGAGGAACATCAACGTGACAAAAAGTTGAGAGGGGGGGGACGGAAGAGTGTTTCAAAGATGTAAAAGAGACAAACACAAAGATAGAGAAAAAGGTAAGGTAAGGCGAGTATTGTAGAAGTAGTGGAATATGACATACAGTCGGGTCATGGTAGTTTGAAGTCAGAAGTCAACTTTCGGTTAGTAGACTTTCGTATGCGTATACGTTGCCCAGGGTGCACCACGTGGAGGTTAATCTATTGCACTCCCCTCTACTCAAGATGTAGAATAGGTAGAATGGTTAAGTCTTGTTTAATAAAAGAAGTGATATAAATCGGTATTGTTGTCAGGAATGTACACGATCGGTTTGCGGAAAATGTTTTCTCAACTAAGAAATTGATTTCATTTGTTCTTATTCAGATTCGTCATAGCGCTAGAACTCTAACCTTTGCATATCTGGATCATCTTTCTGCCGAAGAACGTCGAGCCCTGGCCGATCAATGGTCGGTCTATCTTCCTGAATCGAATCACCACGCGGTAGAATCAAATTCCAACGAGTGCAATCATCATTCTGAAGAGAATCCACCTAGCCATGGCTCAACCGATTCACGGATCGCTTTAGATTGTTGTGAAAAAGAAGATCTGCTGAAGTTTTCAATCAAGCTTGAAAATGGAATCTACGATTCATTTGCCTCTGGGCCATCGAAATCCCTCACTGCATCGTCGATTCATCATTATCGCATTGTTGTAGGTTTGCCTCCTCTACAATTAACTTATTTCATTATTACTCTCGTGGGGTGGGGTGGGGTGGGGAGGGGGGAGGAGTAGGAGGAGGAGGAGGGGACTAAGAGTGTTCTAAACATCTTCTTTTAGAATTGTGCAATTCTAACCCTCGCTGCGTTGGTAATACGATCCGAATCGCCTCACCTCAATCCCTCCTTAGCTGCTCGTGACTTGTGCGTTGAGTTAAATTATCCCTCAACCTCGCACGCCGCTTCTTTGTCGCCATATTATGACTCTGTCCCTCCCGACGTTAAGATCGCTTCCTCGCTATTGAACGAGGAAGTGCTTCGCAATCTCGCTTATGCTCTGCTGCGCTATCTGGGTAAGGTTTTTACCCTCTTACTTTATCAGGTATAAGTTGGTTCTTTTTGTCGGATTATCGCCTACTTGTATCGCATACTTAGAGATGGATACATTGTCTTATCTGAAACAACCGTCAACTGCTCAAACGTCGCCTCTGCGTCGTACTGCAATCGATTTTCTTGGTAGAGGAATTCTACTCTGGGAACCCTATTTGGATGTCTTTCGTCTACTAAATTCCCTACTCTCACCGATTGCTGATGAACCGAAGGAGTTGGATGAGTAAGTGGGCTTCGCTCTTGTTGCCAAATTTGTTTTTCCAATTAAAGATTTCTTAAGCCTCTCTTCTTTTCCAGCCTCCAACCAGGTGAAGTATACAATGAACAACAAGATGTCGCTAGAGCATGTCGTCAGGCTCTCTGGAAGTTAGCATTTACTCGTCCGCATCTTGTCATTTTGACACTTTCGCTTATGCTTCGTAGACTCGGTCCTCACACCCTGAATGCCATGTTCTCTGCTGCTGCTGCTTCTGCGAATGCGACTGGGGTTGGTGGTGGAGATGGTTCGCAAAAAATTCTACGAGTTGTTGTATCTTCTCCTGCACTGGCTGCACCAATATTAGGTGCAGACTCTTTGCCTAAAGGTAAGATACCCAAGAAGTCTCTCTGCAGTGCTTAGGGGAAATGTTTTTGCTCTTTAATTTTTCTCTCCCTCTGGTTATCCTGAGGTTTAATCTTCTCTAGGCTGAAGCCAAGTTGTTAAGGCGTCAAACTGAACAAGGCTTGCAAATTCCATTGCGAGATTGTTGATTGTCCGAAAAATTTTGTACATTTTCTCACCCTTTCCCAATTTTGAGGATTGAGAGTTGTGGGGAACTTCGTGTATATGGGGTAATTCGAGATTAGTAAGAGGAAGACGAAGGAGTAAGAGCATCTCGGGCTGTGGAGCATGACAAATAAAGTATCCTCTTTTTTTAGTCCTTTATTGATCATCGTGTGATTTTTTGGATGAGTGGGGCTATGAACAAATGCGTAGAGCGCGGACTATTTCTACTGAAATTATTTCAGTAGTGCGGAGTTCTAGTAAGAAGTCAAGTTCATCGGAGATAGCTTTCCCCAACACTAAAATGGGTTGTAGTGGGTGCTTAGAGGCTTTATGATGAAAACCAAATCCCTCCCCGCCCCTCCCTCTTATTAGCTAATGCGGATGAATGATGTGCTCTGCCTTATCAGGTCTCCGTGTAAATATTCAGAAAATTAGTATACCAGTAAAGGTGATAGCGATTTTTTTACTGTTCAGTCTATTGGATATAATTCCCCTATCGTTGATAGAGGAAACCGGAAAGGGGAATTAGAAATGTTAGAAATTAGATACAAATAAATTCGTGTTCGTATTGTTGAAGAATGATGTCTTTTTACTTTCAATTCATCAATTAAAGCTCAGGGTCTCAATCCGCAGATCACCAATCAACTTGCTGCGCCTGGTATGAAACACGATAACAACGTGAATCCTCATATTCCGAGCTATGTTATTCCCCTTATTCGTGCGGCACCTGAGATGCTTCGAGTTTTGACAGAGTTGACAAGTCGTCGGGGCCTTGAAATGACGCCCATTCTTCCCGAATTAGTGGAAGTAGTGCTGGTTTGCGTCAATCGAACCAAGCTCAAAGAACGAGGGCTTAATTTCGTGTTTCCCATTCTTCAACAGTTAGTTCTGTCAGCTTAACAGCTTTCAATTTCACTTATGAAGAATCTAATTAGGTGGTTTCTTTTGTATCTAGATTCCATTCGGTGGATAGCCATACTCGAGCTCAGAAGGTGTGCGTTGGTGGATATAATGGCAAACTGATATTCTTTGACTTCAAAAATGGTCGCTATCATGTATATCAAGTTTAAATTTTAGCTCCGATTTTAGTTCTCGCGAATTAGTCTATATTCTCTCTTTTAGACTGTTGATAGCGCACACAAAGCGCCAGTTACTGCAGTTTGTTTTAGCTCTGATGGACGTCAAGTGGCGTCCTATTCAATACTGGAAAATGTGATGAAAACTTGGCAGGTATTTTAAAATGATTTCTACTTAAATTTTGTATAAATAGCGGTGAAGTTATAAAGTTTATTTGTCTATTACAGCTCTCCTCTACTGGTTTGTTTGGAATTGGCGCACAACACGTTAAGCCACTAAACGCCTATCCAATAAGACCTTTCCAGTGTCCAGGTGGAACAACTGGAACTACTCCCAACCCCTCGGATATTGTGTTGTCATGGCCTGAGATGGGGGTTGTTAATATTTTTCATTCCGACGTTCTTATTCGATCTGTACCTCTTTCCAACTAAATACCTAGTTGTGTATAAAAGTTGTGGCTTGTGATCTCGAATTACTATTATTTTGTCTATGTAATCTGAAGGTGTTGTGACGTGTGCTATCCATTTATTACTTGATTTTGACAGTAAAATATCCAATAAAGATATTGTTGTGTGTTTAGGTGATTTTCAATTTCCCACTGTTTCTTCCTCCCAACCACAAACACATTGGCAGACATGAATGTAAATCTGCCTGAGACGGCATTAATTTCATTTGCTTAGACATTCGACTAAAGGGTAATTAAATTTGACATCTATTCTTCACTTTGACCTTGGCATTGATGGAACAATGGTGAAGCCGAGTCCCTACTTCTCTTTACTTGTTTCCAATCTATTCGTTCGTCAATTTATTTTCACCAAGAGGTGGTTGTGGGTCAAATCATGCCATCCCAGTCTTTCCTGATTGGAAATTAAAATCTAACCACTCTTATTAGCTATTCACGTTTGCGACGTTAGATGTTGCAAACTGAAATGCAGTGAGAGCGACATTATCCAGGTTCACTACCTTCCAAAACTGTTGGATCTTTTGTTATCTTGCTGACACTTTATGGACCATTTACCGAAGTAGAAACCGTCAGTTCAAGTTCACTTAAAGAAACCAGTAACGCATCCCAGAGGTATTTGACTACTGTCCCAATGGTTTGAGTTAATTCCAAAAATTTTTTTGTTTCACTACCCTTTGAAGCATCTACACAACCAGCTAAATATCTACTCGCGTTGAAGAAAGACATCATTTTGCCTCTATGGTTTTCAAGCAATAGATAACACCCTATCTGTCTGCAGTTATCTCACTTTGTAGAAATTGGTGCACTAGGGCCTAACCCCACTAGATAGATTTGAAAGTTGACGGCGATTTTGCAGAATCAAAATGGGGTGTCAGTCTTAAAAATAACCTATTGCTAGCTCTCCTTGTTACCTGCTACAAATCGCAACGTTTAGCGAACAATAGTAAGCCGGAAACAATTAAACGTGCAACTAATAGAATCGAAAGCAGTAACCACAACAATTCGAATACAATTGGACAAGTTCAGACTAAGAACACTTGTATTAACAGTTAATCACGTATATAGTCAAATAAGCAATGCCAAATTCATAAAATTTTGATAACCAATTACCTCACATACCTCCTTAGGTAATGACACCCCAGAGTTTGTAAAGCTCACGAACAAAAGCAAAGTATGAAGATCAAAAGACTTTATTAAGAACGGCATAAATAATATTTAAAGGCAGATAATAGGCGAGAAATGATTACTCAATCCGACGAAATTTTTGCATAAGACACTTCTTATGAGCAACTTTAACTGGGTAAAACTGAATAGGGGGAGACGTCTACCAAGATTAAGGTCAGGTTGTACCCAGGACCGAATAAGAAGATACCAAAGTAAACGCTTAGGAACTAGATTGTTTCTAAAGTATATTCTCAGAAGACGCGTAAAGCTCAAAAGTCAGATGTTACTCTCGCTGAGTACTACTACGACATCAAGAGTATTGATTTCGGAGACGGGGTGATTTCAGAGGTAAGTACTCCAAAATGTAATTTGCCTCCAACAATGATACCGTGTAACAAGTAAATCACTTTGCTATTTGTATCTGAATCTTCCCAAGTTTTACAGAATATGCTCTGCGAAAGTTGTTCGTGAATTTTTGGAGAAATGTGCACCATTAAACAAAAGTTATGGTGGTACCGTTTTTCGTATTTGTAAATAACATAAAAAATATTAATAATACCTAAATATGACACCACTCTACAGCAAAGCAGGATAAAATTCAAACAGACAAACACACAAGAAGCAAACAGCAGACCACAGGTCCATTGCACATCCATGGTGGTTAAAACAATTCGAATTCGAGTAGAATGTAAATACTGTATGAATGATTTAAGAAAAATTAATAACTATTCATCCAACGACAAATATATTTTTTGTTTTTTCACCTTAAAGGTTATAATATTTAGAAATTGTTGTTATTTGATTTTATGAATTTTATAAGTTATAGTTTTCTTTATTATTAACATGAAACAAGCATCATTAGTTCGAATTATAATTCTGACTCTATTCATTATTTTATTCGAATTGCAATTTTTGAGTACAATTCTTGTCCAAATATCACACCATACGGTCTCATAATATTGTTGTGTAGAAATCTATTAACGATTTAAGACTTCCCATTTTCATTCAAAATCAGATATATTTGATAACTGAAAATCATATTCTCTTTTGTTATGTAAGCGCTTTCAGATGGAGTTGAAATTTTTAGGTAGTACAATATATACCCGCTTAAATGCAGAATACGTTATTCCTATAACTGAAATAATCAGTCCCAACATATTAATAAACTTGAAATTTTGAAGTCAACTTTTATTTGATACTATATATTCAATCTATTATTAAGCAGTAGCAGCTTTGGATGAGATCAATGCATAACTAACTGAATAAGATATGAAGAGGTTTGCCCTTCATTCCGAATGATACTCCTCAAATAGTACAAATATAATTTCCCTCAAAATGTCGCTACTATCAAATTTTTTCTCCCATAGATTACAATGTGTTATCGCTTTCGGTATTGTTATCATGAATTACTGTGATTAAATTTAATCACGTCCTCACCGCTTTAGGTAAGCCCTCGATAAGAAGAGCATCATTAGACCCTAATGGCAACCCTGTTAAGTAGCGTCCTTTGGCAATAGTGCAATCTAATCTTCTATTGTATTAATTTTAAATGATTTGAATTTTGTAAGTGCCAATAGCCTTTTCTTTTATCCACTGAGACTGTTAAATCTGTTACAAGCAGCAATTTGCTATTAAAGAACTGGGAGTAAGATAAATTAGTAGTTAAGCTCGATATGGGAATGTCTACACCTATAATTACTCATCTTCATGTCCCGTGCACTCTCCAATTATTCTGTGTTACCATTAGTTATTTCTAGACCTAATAGATCCTAATGACCTTTTATTCATTATGGCTGGATCTATAAAATGTTCTTTACTAAATATTTATTTAAAGCTTCTTTGCAATATTTAAAAATTTACTCCATTTAAAACTTAATTTTTTATCGTTTGATGACATTTACGTATTCCTGCTCTTCAAAAATGCACTTGCCCCTAAGATATTAGCTCATGGAAGTATGTCAAATTGGCTTTATGTACCACGTACTTATTTATTTATATCAAATGGCAGGTTTTATGATAGTTATCATTAACTTTTTAGTTGACTTCAGGCTTCCAGTAGGGGAGGGGGGGAGGGCATAAAAGTCATACAAAAGTCGAGTCAATGTAATTTAAAGTCAGATGTCAACTGCTGGTATAAAACTTTTCCCGTATGATTAAACTGTGCCCAGGATGCACACACAGCATGTTCCAAATATTGACTCGTTAAAATGCTTATTTAGGCATTTTAGAGATAAAAGCGCTTATACTCCTTGTTGAGGGTCAAGCATCGTTAAAAACTGCCTCTTTTATTTCTGTTAAAGATTTTCTTCCAATTAAAACTTGTACAGGCGCAGTGTAAGATATAAAAGTGGGAAAGAATGAATTATCCGTAAACACTGGATACTTATTGTTACCTTGAATACATGGGCGCAATGACCTAGTGACTTCAAAGGTTTTAGGCCACACAAAACATTTGAATAAACCGTAAAGAAAATGAACTTAATAACTAAATAGACTAGAAATGGACAAGAGGTGGCAATGTTATCGAAATCAGATTATCAAGTGTCGCTTGAATTCTGTTCGAAATGAGTTGCCTATGAATTAATATGCATTGCCTAAATATTCAAATTGACAGCAGTCAGATACCATCGGTCCATTGGATGTAATTCCGTGGTTTGACATGTCGTCCTCCAACCTCTAGTTGTCTGAATGTATTCAAAGTTGGTAGTTGAGATTGTGAACACCTTTTAGTCAGATAAAGGTGAAAAAATTCTTTCAATTGGTCTCGATTTATGAATTTTAGAGGTATTTAACAATGATTAATTTAGACATCTGAACAAAAACAAAGATAAATGAAGCGTGGCCGACTAGCTAACCAATATTGGCAGGGATAGATTTTTCATTTATTAACTTTCTTATCCAAACCTGTGAGTAGGGGTTAAAGAATCGATTGATTATAAAATGAGAGATGAGTCTACGAATGCACTCATAGTGTACTCGATCGAATGAACCGAGAATATTCGACTTACCAACGAAAGCGTCTAAATCACTGCATTGGGTGGTTTATCTCGTCGATATTATAAACAAACGTCAACGATTCCTGAATTCACAATCCCCATTCTATCGCTTAGCAGATGTTATATAGAAATCCGCACATGTCACTTGTGGATTCGAGATGTTCTTGCGCTTCAATAAAATCAATAAAGATAAATAGTATTAAATTAATTTTTTCCCCCAAATATTTAATTTGTAAGACACATTGGAGGGAATTTTATCATTTCTTAATAATTAATGATCTTTCAGAAATCGATTTAAAAACGTGAAATCGCCTCCCCCCATCCACGCTCCCACTCCTTTTATCCTTTTCAATGCGTTGACTACGTTTATCTTTGTGATCTATTGAAGATTATTCACAAGAACCTAGATGACCCCAGAGAGTAAGTATCTTGCCAAATAAGCTAGTTATGCAACCAGTGTCTGAATCCCTTAAAGCCGAGAAAGGACTAAAGATTTCAAATGATTGTAACTAGAGTAATAGATCCATTTTCACTTACCCCGCCAGTCTCGCTTCATTCATCAATATAATTTCAAAGTTTATTTATTTATTCATTTATTTATAACAAATGACAGGCGTTTTGATAGTTATAATTAGTCCTCTAGTTGACTTCAGGTTTCACAGAGGGGAGGAGGAACATCAAACTCAAAAAAACCGAGAGGGGAGGGGGAACAGAAGAGTGTTTCAAAGATGTAAAAGAGACAGACAGACATAAAGCTAGAGAAAAAGGTAAGAGGGATACTGTGGTAGTGGTGGAATATGACATAAGG